TGACTGACACCAACTGTATCTACTACACTGTACGCTATTAAAACTCATTGAGTAGTCACAATTGTGTACAACTGTGTGTACCATCATCAGATTCAATTGAACTGAACTACTGTCTTTAAAATTTGAACAATCGGAGCAATCTTGGACAGCTAAAAAAAAGGTTCACAAAAATTGTAAAACTACGTGTATGTGTGAACTATAAATACTGGTATATGGATGATTTAGTGTGAAATCAATTAGCAGTGAAAATAAATGTGAATTATGTACCTTTAATGATGTTCAGATGTTGATGATTTTCAAGGCAAAAGGTTATGCCAAAGTGATTCCCAACTGACTGATACAAAAATTTAGTTTTTATTTATAAAAGGGCTGTTTGGAATAACATTGAAACTTGACACATTTTTCCCCAAATTTTTCCTGGTGCACCGTTTCAGGATACACACAAACACATGTACATTTTATGTGAAAAGTGACACCGTGTGTTATACTTGGTGACAAAGTGTTTTGACTAAGTGTGATCAATTTGACAACAAATATTGAGTCAATGCACTGCATTATCATCTATCCAAAAAAAAGAAATTAGAAATGTGCTTATGTCGGCAAACAAGGCTGTTTCAGCTTTTTTTATGACACATACATGTACTTCAAGGGGTTTACATGTAAGTTGGCGATATTCAAGCCCTCAAGACATTGGCCAGCAAAAAAAAGGCACTGTTTTATTGCCGATGCGGTGTCCGTTACATTGGACGGGTTGAATCACTTTGAATTACCCTTTGAATTCATTAAGAATGCTTGAAAAAGACATCTGATTCAGAACAAAATATGGGCGTGATTTTATGACCATCATAAAAGTTTGATTCTTTTACATGTATTGGACATACATGTACCAGTATCCCTTCCAGTTTGCTTGAAGTAAGTGGGTGTGGTCTGAAACTGTTGCACTATTCTTGTTGGTTGCACTATTGCTTGATTGTTATTTGTAATGTTGACCCAATTTTATCTTTGTATTTTAATATGTCTTGACTGACCCAAGGTTTTGATTCATTGTTCAAAATCACACTCCCAGATAAATTGCACACCTGGAAATGTCCAGGAGTGTATTTTTTTTTTCGCTCGCCTGCAATTTCCAAATCACAAGGACTGAAAACCTGGTAGAACAAAAAATGTTTTCATCAAATTTTACAGGTTCACTCATTTAACTACCAACTTTTCTTTTCGCATGGACAGATAAGATGGGTCACTTCTTAACCCTAACACTCCTCAGTCCTCCAACAGGTGAAGGATTGAGGAGCGTTAGGGTTAATGTATGTGGTGTATGTGTCAAATAGAAACCCCATGTATGATTTATATTTATACTTGTATTTACAACCAAATCAAAATTTACATACTCCAACCCTAATATTTAGTGCCACTTTCTGCATTTTTGTTTATCGCATCTCATAATCGCAGTGGACCACTTTCTGAAGTGTTTTTGAACGACAATCATGGGATAAATGTAAATTTTTACAAAGTTATTTTTCAGAAATACTAATTTTTGGAACCATAATAAATGTCTCCGGGTATTTGCGATTGAAGCACACACTATGGGCATTAAGTTGAGATGCAATTTGTCCGACCCCATACAAAAAAGTTGGCAAAACTACTTCAAACAGCAAAAAATGAGGAAAACTTCTGCTTTTTTGTACCAAGTGTACGTAAACTGTTTGACCCCAACTGTACAAGTATCGCCTAGTTTGTGGATAGAAAACTGTTGAGTCTCTACTGACTGACATGGGTGCAAAACGTTTTTTGGAAAGCTTTTACATGTATCTCAAAAGTGGCATTGGTGATTTGGGACCCATTTTGTTCGGGGGGGAGGGGTCGCATGCTGGTTCACGCTGTACAAGTGTGCGGAGCATAAATGTGAAGTCTTAGGCCATTTTCCAATACTCAACTTTGTCTCCGTCTCAGGCTTTGTGTAGGAAACCAATCCTCGATTGTGGGCCTGAAGCGTTTAACTTAAATTGATGTACTGTAATGTTAGGCTCTTTTGCATCATGATGTTTTGTGGCACCATCAGACTTAATATTGTACTTACAACCTCAAAGCATGGAAGAAGAAATAGCTCAAAGTCAGGAAGTAAAAAACATTTGAACCTAAGACGGAGCTCAAGTCGAGTATTGGAAACCGGCCTTGAGTTATTTCTTGTTCGGTTTGGTTGGGTTAATTTTTCGGACACGGACTGGAAATCAGTGCCCACTTGTCAGTATGTTAGTGCCCACCTGTACTGAATCCTCTAATTTTAATATGATTTTGCACACATCGTAGGGAGTTAGGGTTGAGAGGCGCAATTTGTCAGAAAACTGATTGAGAAAACACTCAAAAGAGAGGACCCAAATTAGTCATTCCCACAGATTGTGTGCTCTTGGGCAGAAGGCCTTGCTTCCTGCTTTCATGGGTTCACCCACGATGACAACTGCCAGCTGTTCCAAACTAGAACCATCGCTGGCATGGAAGGAACGGTCACACTGCGCTGGTAACCAGTGATCGCTCTCTGTCCCACTGGATAGCCCCTGCAGGGCAAACCTTCCAAGTGAGCCACTAGCCCGGGCAGATCTTGATGGAGCTCTCAATCAAGATCCTGGTGTCAAGGTCATCTCTCTCACTCACACAGACTTTATAGGGAAGCCATACCTGGAACAGGGGAACACACAGCTGCGCCGCAATGCCGACTAAATCCTCGATGGTGACAGATGTCCCCGGTTCAATTCCCACCGTGACTGCAGACCCGGTGCTGTGATACGCCGTTGAGCTATCGACGGGCAAGTTGGCCAGCCGTCGAGGTTGATAACCCTTCCGGATGACAATCTGTGAATTAAATTCCAAAGATTCAAAGAAACCACATCAATGTCCACAAATTCACCAGATTGAAAAATTTTAACTTCACAAAAAACCACTGCAATTGTACCGGTATTCACTACTCCAGAACATCTGCAACATGCACATTTTTAGTGATCCGTGCAGAGGAAAGTCCTCAAAAACTGTGCACATTCAGACACACTTTCTGTGGAGGCCACCTAAACCTGGTCAGCTGATCTGGCCACCTGACAAAGTACGATCAGCTGACACCCATCAACCAATCAACGGCCTTTGGTAGATTTCCATGCTTTCTATTTAACTGGGTAGCATGTGGGGTTGCTTAAACCTTGCACACTCAAATGTATCATATGCTGTTTTGGAGTCGCTGGCTCTGTTTAACAACTGATGCCAGATTAACTTTTCACACCCAATTGATATGATGAAAAAAAAGTTTCAGCAGGGCAAAGATGCCTGACCAACATAGGATCCAAAGCCCCATCATGCAGAAAACAGCATTAAACTTCTACACACTGCTGTAATAATTCCTAGCCACAAGACATCCATGCTTTTTTCCCCCAACTTTTAACCAAGAAAATCTGAATGAAAGCATGCCCCGAAGGAAGCAAACGCCAAGTTGGAGAGCTCCAAGCAACGGTCCGTAGTCATCAGGAAGCGGCTTAGAGTTAGCCAAGCCAAAGTTTTAAATCTTTATCCCAGTCGGAATGGAATCCACCTCGACCTTTGACATGTTCTTTGTTGTCAGCAAAGTGTATTTTTTCTAGTGCTGAGCCTTTGACACCAAATCACTCTGACACCAAATCTGTGAAAATTGGACATACTGTTCCCACAAAATGCCCATTATTCCGAGACTGGTCAGCCAGGATTGCACACTTTTTCCACTGACATACTCAATGAACGAATGAACACAGGCCGACGGGCCTGAGGACATAAACTTCAAATAATTGTAACAATACTGGGAACTGGATTGAATAAGCCTTTTGCGAGCTAAACCTGAATAAAACTTGGCACACCAATTGCTTTAAATTCATGTGAATGCAACAATTTGAATTCTCCATACTAAAGACATTGTTGCTGTACCTCGTGATTAGGGGCAAGCTTTTAGTTACAAAAGAGACACCTTGCACCAACGCACTGTTTTCAATGGATTAAGAACGGCGCAAAGGAGCCAGTCCATTCCAGAGATGGTGGTCGCTATGTGAAAACTTGCCCCAAATCATGCGGTATAGCAGCAGTGTCTTTAGTCTGGGGAATTCAAATTGTCACGTTTATGCGCAATCAGAGTTCACAGCTCCGTGTACCAGATTTTCTTCCCATTCAACTCGCACAGGGCTTATTGAAACTTTACAGAACTTTATGAGTGTTTGTACACATGCACACCAACCAAGGTTGAAATGAAAAGGTGTGGAGGCAGATGCTTCCGCAGCCCACTTCTTTTACAGTTAAGAACAAAATTTTAGGAAAAGTTCCTGTTTTACCTTTTGGCCCCTTTGTGAGACATCATTCTGAATTCTCTGAATGCATCTGAAGAGGAGAGGATTGGCTCGGAAGTACTTGATGTCGGAAGAGATGAAATCTCTAATGAAGAAGTTGAGGGACAGCTTCTTGTTGACGATGCTGGTCGAATCAAACAGGTAGCTACCTGCAATAGCGTACAATTAATTGGCTCTATCATTTCTGCCTTTGTTCTGAAGTTCCAAAAAATTTCATAATGTACTGCAATGCTGGAGTGGTCAAATGGTCACCTAAAGTAAGTGTTCACTTTAGGAAAATGCTGTTCATTTGGCACAAACAATACCCTGTATTCACTGCAACTTTCCGAACAAATTGAGACTTGAGAATTTTTCTTGCAAAGTTTCCAATAGTGTTTGAAACTCTTTGAATGAATTCTGTTTTACGCCAGTTGACGTGCCAAAAAAAGTTGCGAAAATAAACCAACAACGAACTGACCACTGTGTACAAAGGTCACATCAAGTCTCCTTTGGAATGCGATGTGCCATGTATGTAAATATGACATGCAGGTTATCACTCTTCGCTCGAACAAGGCACCAGTGCATGTAGAATCTATCCAGAACGGGGTATATTATATTATGGCCTTAAATGTACAGGGCATGGAGAAACTTAATTACTATGCATGTGTGCAGATCTTCCTTGCGTGACAAGTTTGCCATCGGATCCTTTTATCTCCGGTATTGGATTATTCCTCTTCATGTATGATGAGGGGTCCTGACCAAAAAATTTACCTCCAGTCCCAAAGAATGTAAAACAACCCATTTTGACGAAGGTACTTGTACAATTCCTTATTTATTTTTTGGACATGTCAACGACACACATGCACTCTTCACTCTCACCAGCTAATTACGGGTTATCTTGTATGTAATCTTGTCGGTGCATGTGCATTCTTGTGTCTTTTGATACAAGAACAGTTTGTAAAATGACAAAGGAACAAGTATGAGCGTTAATTACCCGTATCCTTGACGTCAGACAAGTCAAACACGGTGGGATCAAACTCAGCCTCATCAACAGACAAAGAGTTGAAATCCTCTCCGGCAGGGAAACTCACCGACTCTGAATTCAAAACGAAAAGATTGTAGAGACTGTACTTCCTGGTATTGTCTGTCAATTGGTCAACAGAAATCACAGTGTTATAGTCTTAGGCATCCTTCAGTAGTACATGTACATGTAAAAACAGGCCAACGATACAAACCAAGAATGTCACCTTTTGTGGTCAGATAACGGAAACCAACTTCACTGTTTGAGAATTTAGAGCAGGGAACAAAACAATTACGGACATAGTAAATACTGAAAATAACTTTTATTACATGTACCGGTAGCTAACATTTCAATCAGTTAAAATAATGATCCAGGTGAAAAAGTTCAAACAAATGGATTATGTAACCAAACTGCTGTTATTTCAATGAGCCCTGTTCTGTTAATCATTTTCAGATGTACATGTACAAAACACAAAATCTGACCTAAAGATACGGTATGTACATGTACATGTGTATAAATGTACATGTACATGTACCTCAGTCATGTCAGTACCAGGTATACAATACACCTGTACACTGTATACATATATGTACTTGAATTTTGGCTCAGGATGTCCGGATATACTGTACATGTACATGCACATGGAAAGAATCTGAAGGTGTACACATGTGATAGCCAAGGTGAACGATATCCTGGACAGGGAACTGGAACTGTTCGTGGAAATTGTCAGTAGATTTGAGACACTGTTTCCTGGTTTAACTCTTTAAGTGAGCACAGAATCCTATTTATTATAGGAGGAAGTCAGTGGTCCAAAATTCATGAAGTACATGTTCATGTACATGTACACAAGTCCACAGAGTTAAAGTGAGCATGGTACATTGATATACATAAATGTGTCTATAAAATACATGCATCATGCCCACTTTAACTCTGTGGACTTGTGTACATGTACATGTACATTTATGTAGACGCTGGTGAACATCCACTGAATGTACATAAACGGTACACTGTAGCTGAAGCCATGAGTACGACATTTTACGGCTGAGACAACTTGATTAATTGCATATTTGAATATCTCACCCTTCAGTTAAAATGAATAGCAACAGTGTCTTTAGTCTGGGGAATTCAAATTGTTACTTTTCTATGCAATCAGATAACACAGGGTACCAGATTTTATTCAAATTTAACTCGCAAGTGGCTTATTGGTGAATTAGGACCACAAAATACAGGTAGAGAGAAACAAAAAGCTGTCAGGAAAACGCAAGCTAAATCTGACCTTACTCCTAGGCACTGTATTTAATTGCTGTCTTCAGGTTTACAAGTGTATACATGTAGCCGGCCTATGCAACTTTGTTACCAAGTAATCAGTTCTTTTCTTTCTGGATTTTCACCTCCAAATATTTGATTTAAAAAATACACCAACAAGACAATCAATCGGATCAAATATTTGTTGGCACACCCCACAACATTTCAAAAGTACTTTACGCACTTAACGGCTTTGTCCCATTTGTCTTACATGGACGTCTGCATATTTGTTAATTTTAAACTGCTTGACAAAAACCTAATATTTGTACGACTCTTGAGAAATCATTCGACATCCGAGAAAACATTTGTCAATGCCAAAACAATCCGTTGAGAAATCTACAAACTTCCTATCAGAACGTACAAACTTCCTATCAGAACGTACATGCACATGCACATATGTATGTACAATGCCCACTGGAGTGGGTTTTGTGCATGAGGCCCACAGTATAAATGGACAAACAATCAAGACGTGCAAACATGACACTTGTACTTTCAGTGGTTTGGGGCAGTACGGCAGACCTCCAATGATGAAAATTAACCCTGAGTTTAAGGTTGTTGGTATGTAACCATGGTGAGGCATTTGTCCCCCCAAAGGGGCATTGTTGACACTCCTTATGCCAATACAAAAATCCTATGCCTGCCAGCCTCCGAGGGCTTTTGTTGGCATTTCCTTTATTTGATTGGTGAGTCCGGGTTCATATGAAAGGTGAAGGCCTTGGCAACGAGTGTACAGTTTCTGGTTATATGCAAAATCTACAGCAAGAGCACAATTGGCCTTCTTAACAGCTATAGTCAAAAAGGTTAAAGGTGTTTAATTACAACATATAACTTTCCTAGTCACAACTACTGTACATTTGATAAATGAGAGCATTTACTCTGCTTAATGTGTTAGTACATGTACATGTAGGTTCCTGTAAGTACAGGTAAAGTGATGTGCCAACTAATCAGCCACTGAAAAAGAAGTTTGCGAAGTCTCCAAACTGTTGTTGTTTAAACACAGCCAGTCCAAATGTACATGTATGTGAATTTCTTGCCAATTTACATGCATTAAGAGGATTCCATGCATTTAAGTAACAAACTGCTTTTCACTGCCAACATTGGATTCAATAACCAACACAGATTTTTTTTTTGAGGAATCAAGTACAATTTTGCTTTACTCAAAGAACCCTCAATGTTATGAGTTGAAATGTTATACAAAACTCAAGCTATACACTGTACGTGTGCATCTCATTGAGTTACATGTACATCAGTGGCTTGTGAAAGTTATCGCCACATTTTAAAAGAGTTTGAGAAACTACCAGCACAGAAACACACATTACCATCGAAGAAGATAAATAGAGCAAATCCAGTGTTCACATTAATGTAAACCTGAAATGTAATGAAGTTTGCCAGTTTATACCAGACAGATTGGAATGACAGCCTACGTGTATGAGTACATGTACATGCATAGAGGAAAATGAGTACAAAAAGTTTCAATTTGTACATGTCAAGATGTTGGCCAGAAATTATAACAGGAAGCCCAAATTTTCAACTTAAAATAACAATATGTAACACATTTATTCATAATGGGATTGTCATCAACTTTCGAGTACTGTACATGTACAAAGTTAGCCAGCTCGAAAAGAAAATCACGGTATGCTTGCACTGGTTTTGAAGTTCAAGTTATGACTGCGGTACCAATTACAAACTCAAAGGGAAAGTGTTGTGTTTATGTTTATGGGTATGCATGTCAGCTGCACAAGAATAGAAGGTTGTCTCTGACACGCCTTGTCACAGTGGGGTACCCGGTAGGTAACTTAGGTTACCCTACTGCCCTACTGCCCCAACTTTGTCCAGTGCCCACTATTCCCTCTGAACTGTGTCCACACAGCTGAACATGCCCAACTTTGGTCATCAAGAATTTGAGAGAAAAAAGTGTCATTTTAATGACATTGCAAGAAGTGGACTGTCACCAATTTAAACAGTTTCTTTATGCCATGGGTGGTGTGTGCTGAATGCTCAATACGGGCTGCGCGATTAGTGCACTTCCAAGAGTTTGCAACGTATCAACCAATCACAGTGCGTAGAATCTGTCAACCCTTTTCCAAACGTGCATTGGGCCAACAGGTTTTGTGCACTGTGACTGGTCAGCACGTTGCAAACTCTTGGAGGTTCACTGTTGTGAAACGCCTATATTAACTCCTGACATGGAGTGTTATCAGCCCAAAATTACCTTTGCAGTCTTTGGAAGAGTCTCCCTTGAACAAATGAACCATTGTGGAGTCGTTTTAGGGAAAACATTTCAAGAAAATGCAAATTTGAAATTCTTACCAATTTTTGGGGTTGAAAAATTTATGACTAATGGTAATTCAAAATTATTCATTTTCAAGCGTAAATTCCATCCAATTATGGTCGAGTGAAAGGCATACATGAGCATCAGGCTACCGTCCTTTACCCATACAGCGTATGTAGCTGCCAAAGGAGCAGAGCCACTAACCATATTAAAAGTTGATTTTTAAGGGGGGGGAGGGAAACCGGAGAAAACCTGTTGTGCCACAGAAGCAAACCAATGAAGAACTCCACTCACACATCCCAGGCCAGGAATTGAATCTGGAACCTCAGTGATTAGAGTTGGGTGCTTTACACACTAACCACCTATACCAGCCCCAGTCTCCCCCCGCCAGTAATAGCATGGTGGCATACATGCACACTAGTGGCAGGATCTTGCATTAGTAGGCCTAGCAGGATACAATTTAAAGGACTACCAAATTTTAAAATACCAACATGTTCTTTTCCTACTTTCCAAACTTTGCCTATTTCCCTAAGGCAGTGAATCCCCAACAATGCCCAAATTCCCCACAGCTACATTAACGTGTTAATGTTTACAGTACGCTTGAATATTTTGGTGGTCTGCCATGTCTCATTCTTTGCCAGCCATGCCAGCCTCGGAAAAACCATATCAACAACCAAAACAACGTCGACTGGCAATGACTTGGTTTATTTTGACAACACTAATTTTCAAGTTAAATATTACAACAGCCGTCACAAAGTGATAACATGTCTGAAAATTTCCCTAGCTAAATTTCACTGTTTTGCAAAAAGGGAAATTTAGCAAGGGAAATTCCGAAGCATTTACGTAGTTAGAAAACACTTAGGGTGTTTTCAGGGGGATAGTTTATTTGGGGACTCCACAGTTTTTGTCATTTTAATCTTGCCAAACGGGTAATTCCCCCAAAAAAACAAAGGCAACACTCTCTTTATTGCACTGGTCCTATTTTTGGAGAAATTTCAAATTGTTAATTGTGAGAAAATGTGACTTTCTTACTGATAAACTTGTCATGCAAATTTGAATCAACTATGTGCCACATATTTCAAAACACTCAAAGTTCCCCTCATGATTTCCCTCGTAACTCAAAACTCTACCAATAAACCCTACATTGAGCATGATGTCACAGTCATCTCCTAAGGTGAATTCAAAAGTTAATGTAGCTCTTTCTTCTAATCAAAGGAACAGGGTCGCCAAATTTACAATCCCTTTTTTCAGACAACTCTCAAAGGCTTGTGCACAGGGGCATCAAGTGTTGTCCGTATGGAATTCTTTCCGTCGATTGTTGTTAAGTTTGTAGTTCAATTTCAACTCACCATGAACTTAATAATACTAGTACTGTAGTAAGCCTGCACTTACCGGCATGAACATGACGAATGCAGTTCAAAACCAACGCTGCTAGGGGCAGAAAAGCAAGAAACATTTGGCCCGTAAAGACCATTTTGACAGTCGTTGTTACGAATGCTACAAGGACATTAAGAAAACGAATGACACGACGAACATAACTTGTCGCCAACTTCCTCTTTGGAGTTGTATGACTGCTTCCGGTTCCAGAAAAGTAAACTACAGCTAATAGGGCAGAGCTGCTTGGGGCGCGCTAGTACTGCATGCAGGGGATCTTCTCACCAAACTGCGCACGCGTGAAAGATAAAAAGTCTCGATCATCGGTCTCCACTCTTTAGTCTTAGTTCAGGGTCGCTTGTGTCTTTCAGAAGGAAATTAATTCTAAACGTCGGATCAAGCATGGAGCTGTAATGCACGGTTTTCATTTACATAGCAAGAGATTCAATCCACACCCAAATTCTTGGAGAAAAATTTGATATGGACAAGATGGAAATGGTTTTTGGAACTTTTGCTGATGAAATCAGGTTGCGTCACTAGGTGCAGTGGGTCCATGGAGCTATAGCTCCATGGAGCTATAGCTCCTTGGGAGGTCAGTTTTCTGCGATGGTACAAACTTGAAACTTTTTATAATGCTATCCCAAAACCTGGATTATTCTGATCTGATAATAGAAAGTGATTGTTCAAAATGATGTCAAAGGTACCCCCAGAACTGTGGGGTACGACGTCCGCACCGTGTTCTGGGTGTATTGTCGAAGGAACTTCGAGAGGGCGCTCTTTAAAGAAAACTTTTAGGAACCACCTGTTTTGCAGGCGGATGATGTGCAAGTACCTTGAAGTGGGCGTCGTCACGATTTTTTTTTTCACTTTTGCGGGGGGGGGGATTTCCAGGGGAAGCACTGATAAACCATGATAGTGAAAGGGGTTTAATTTCGATTTTGTCCCCAAACAAGTAGTATAGATTTCATCCCCTTTCATCTCCTTGTTTTATATTTTCTGCTTTTCCCCCTTTATACATTTTTTTGGCTTTTTTCCCCACAGCAGTACGGTGGAATTAAAGCACCACTTTGCCCCTCCCCCAGATGCATGTCACCAAAAATAAATAGTTCAGTGTGCCAGCATAACATTATGGAGGCTTAGACAAAGTATTTAGAGAAATAAAGAGAACTAAAAGTCTTAGCACCAGACGTAAACTCGGCTTCCCACATGACTTAAAGAGCAACTCAAAGGAAAACCTGTTTTCTCGGATTTTATATGTTTGAATAAAAATGGAAGCATCCAAATTGAACGCAGAGTCATTTGTCTTCAGAGCTCAACTACAACAAGCTAAAAGGTTTTTTCTGTTTATGCCAAGATGGCTACAATGGCTGCATGCACAGTTTGACATGCACAAGGGTTTATCCGTTACCAACACAGGGTGGGGGTTCCCCTCATTTTCTCTATTTTCTCAAAATGACGCAATCTACATTCAGAATTCGTATCTTGGCATGAACATAAAAAAGCCCCTTTTAGCTTGTTATAGTTGAGCTCTGAAGACAAATGACACTGTGTTCGATTTGGATGCATATCCATATTTATTTGAACAGATAAAATCAGAGAAATCATTGCATTGCATTCAATTTCAACTACATATGCTCACCACAGGATAGCCATTTTGGTTTTCATGTACTGAGATTTAGCCTGGGCACTGAATCTTTTCTGATTACAGTGCTGTGGATCTCCATCAATAAAATTATAAAATTACTCTAAAACCTTGTGTTGTGTTTATCTTAAACTAGTTTATTTCTCACACCAAGAACATTTTAGCACCGAAATAGAATTAGAAAAATAGAAACCTTCGCAGTAAAGCAATGAAGACAAGGTGTCTCTGAAGTTAATGAATTATTCAAGAGATATTGCTCAGTACATTGTATATGTTAACCTTTTACAGAGTAACACACCTTAATTTAGATTTGCTTGAACCCCAAATCCTCTGTGTGTTTTTGTTGAACTTGTCAGAACTTGTCAGATTCTCTGAGAAGTACCAAGTACGAAGCACACCTTACCGCATTTGGGCCCAATCAATTATACACATGGAGGGGCAGTGACTTCATTGCATCTAGAAGGAACTGTGAGTGACCAAAAGATTGTTATACAAATGTCTCCAGAAATTGGACAATCTTCTCTTGCCCTTTAGCCTCGGGAAATAGGACCCTCTTCTGCCAAGTTCTGCTTTGTCACAGTCCCGTAGGGTGCATAGAGATGCACAAGTGAGCTCGATCATTGCCAATCCATATGTATGACAGTACAGAATCTTACATACAGTACACATCCATAACCACGACTACATCCCCTAGTTAATAATATAATTTATGAAAGCAAAAGTAGCAAATGCGAATATGTACACAAGTACCATTTTTAGAAGATAAACTCTTGGTCTTACAAATAATCCTGCTTTGAATGCCACATTGCACTAAAACTAAGCTGAACCTCAAAAAGAAAGCCAACCACCATTTATAAATAAATCTGTTAATGAAAGAACAAAGTTACTGAAGGAGATGGAAACTATAAGATAGTGACACATTTCAGTTTCTCTCAAAAAAAGGACACAAAGTGCGAATGGCCGAGAGGTCTTGATCACCTGGTCTGCATGACAAATGCACACCCTGCAGCTGTTTTTCTATATTGTATATTTTAAAAATCCTATAGTTGCAATGTTACACACATTTTAAAAGATCGATTTTTCGCTTTTCTCGATGGTGTGATAACAGAAAATATTTCCATGTAGCTACAGATATTCGTTTGAAAAAGGCAAAATTTTCTTATTATTTTTGTTTATACAAAATATTAATTTTTCTAAACTAGCATCCCCCACAAATTATAAAAACATAATGCCGAACTGAATTTGCATCCAATTTGATACAGTCTTTGGGTATTAAGATTTACAGTTGTTTGTATATCCATCATCTTACAAACATCCAACCTTGAATCCTTGCCTGACTCGAGCTGATGGTACACCATCCACCAAGAACGTCTGGTGCTGTTGTGAGGAAAATGAAAATAAGCCGAATATATAGGCGGGTACTCTTTTGATGGGAAACATTTACACTCCCTACAATGGACTTTTCAAAAGTGACAGTCAGGTGTGAGTGAATGCATGCTGTGAAATTCCCCACAAAATCCAACGTGGAGAGCGTTCGATTTTTGTCATTGTGAGCAGTGAGAAGATGTTGATCTCAACTTGGGTCATCCAGATTATTTTCCTCTCAGATTTCACTCTCGGAAGATGTGAGAGTTGACGAGGTAATTCCTGTCCCCTTGAGCTGAGCATTTCTGCTCTTATTCTTTCGGATTCTCTTCAAACTCTAGTGTCCAAGAAATCAAGCCTACGTAAGTCGTCCTTGCAAGGTCAGTGTAAAAATGATGATGACTGGGAGGCCATTGCTAATCCTTCAAAATCCTCCATAACCATCTGGAAATCATGAAGGATCCAGGAACATTTGCATTAATTACTTCGAGTTCAAGCATATCTACATTTTATAACCCAGCCCCCCATTTAGTGCTCAAAACAACATTCACTCACATAGAACAGAGTACATGTACGCACCCCACAAGATTAATGGCAAAGGACTTGATTAACACTACCAAACAAGTTGATGTCTTTGTTTTGTATTTGTATATTATTGTATACAAAGTGATGTCAAAACAGAGTGCCAATGAGAAAGGGATTCAGTGCTACAACTCGGCACAGCTGTGGCATTTCGTGGTGCCTCAGAGGTCTGTCCAAAACCATTTCCACAGGATATTAAGGGATGAAAACTCCCCAAATTCAAAACATTGTGGTACTAAATGGAAACTAATGCGAGGTCTTTGTTATTCACCTTAGTTCAACACTACGGATACCGAGATATGCCAGCGTCGCCTTCAGGATCGGCATCATCGTCATCAAAATCCCCAAACGGGTTCTTGGATTCTGTCTTGAAGTAGTCGTCATCGGATTCTGGCTCCTGGGACACAGGCGCTGGGGTGTCTGTCTCTCTCTTGGTGCTCTGCCGCTCGTCGAAGCGGGTGTACTTGGTGGTGGAGGGGGCAGGGGCTGGCTGGGGGGTCAACTCGCTAGCGGCATGGCGGAGGGCTTGCTCCTGGTATGTGCGCAGGAGGTACAATATTGCGAGGAGGTCCAATACAACTCCTGTATGGGGAAGTGTTTAATGGGTGGATAGGTGGGAGGGGGGCACAGAAAAGAGAGATGGCAAGATGAGGAATTTCTTTCCGAGATGAATTTCTTATTATGGCCATGGAAAATGCAAATTCATTTCCTGGCAAGGTGTAGTTCTACATTAAAATCAAGTTTGGATCCAAAACAGAATTTTGGGAGGGGGTTGCAAAATTGTTGGAGGGGGGCTAAAAAAGATGGAAACTTCTTTGTCACACTTGTAAAGACCTTTATGGCTCTCTGAAAGTAAATGCTACGATATTTTCACTTGTTTGGAAGGACATGGAGTCATGGGGTTCAGAGATTTTTGCACAAACCCAACACCTCAAGGATCGACAAGTCTGAGTTCGAGTTCGGGCGGCCTGTTCTTGACACGGGTTTCTTGTTCTTGCGCTCAAATGGTGGGAACGCGTCTAAAGAAAACTGTTCCCGGAACAGGACCACACACCACCTCCTCGTCAGGGTTTACAGGAACACATGGAAAAACTTGTGAGATTCTGATTTTTGAACAGCTGTAAAAATATACAGATGGCTTACAAAGCCGGAGACAATAAGAAGTTGCGCAAAATTTACATTAATTGTTTTCCGCAACACAGAAATGAATGTTCCTGTTTAAACAGAAAAGAATTCAGCCAAGTTATCCAAACTCTCAAATAGCGTACGTGTACGAACACTGCCATGTTACATGTTGCTTCACACTACCAGCGATAACCAGTTGTACGTTCCCGGCGTTTGAGCGGCCGACCAACGAACAACAAATCAAGCTGTTCGTGAACAAATGAGAACAAGCCGCCCGAACTCAGCCTAAGACATGTAGGAGATATCAAGAGAATCCACGCACACACAAATGATACCAATCATGGCGCATCCCTGTGGTTAATGTTTCATGCAAAATTTGTCCGTGCTTTAATGATTCGTTGCATTGCACCTTGATAGAAATAAAAAAGCAGATCACCAAATACCCTAGCGGCAAACCATTTCATCCAAACTCTGCTGTAGCTTCAGTGAATTTTCACTGAATTGCACTTTGATAAAAACAAAAGTAAAGAAATCAACCTTAAATTACAAGACAGACCAGCTTTCACTGGTCCATTTCTGGAAAGGCATCTCAGCATAAATTAGTACTATAAACACAGTACTTGTAAATATGGATAAAAAAAATTTCTGGGAACTTGAAAAAGCTTAAATATCGAACAATTTTTATAACGAAGTATTGCCCTTCATTATAGTATACATGTATTTATAACACTCTTAAAGAGTCGGTGACACCCACAGGCTAGTAAAAATTCACAAGCTTTCTTGGGTGGGATTCGAACCCACAACCTTCTCCTAACAAGCACGTGTCCTCAGACAACATGAGTATACAGTTTGAAAAATACATTTTGGTGAAGGGAAAAAAACCCAATCTAAGAAAAAAAGAAGTATCATCTCCCTGACGCAAAAATGGCGTCTCATAAATTATATCACACCGATGGGGGGAGTCAGGTTTGCCAGGTCCGTGGTCTGGGTTCAAATCCCACCCAGGCTGATGCGGATTGGCTTTACAATCCCAACCTGGATCCCTAGGCTTTCCCCGCAATGTTTATCTGGGGTTTTCACCCCACATCTTCATTGGAGTTACAACTTTTTAAGCAGGTTGTCCATTATTTTATTTGCCATGTTAACAATGGCAACTGAAAATCATTCTAGAGTGACATGGCTACCATCGTTAATAGTTTTCATTCATATTCATGTCATTCATTCATTAGCAGGTGTACTGTTGATGCATAACAACAAGAAAAAACACACTTCATACATGTACATGTAAATTACTTACAATGTACGGTACACCGACATCACTGGGTATAGCATATGGTTCACTCCATGCATCACTGATTTCAATTAACTCAAGAACGGAATCTACATGTACATGCATGTTTCCATGCAGATCATATTACTTCCGTTGTCTCTTGCCATCCATTTATGTGTAGTTACGATGCAGCACACCTGACTGTGATACATGTATGTCACCAATTTTGAGCCTATTCAGTGATCCCCTCCCCCCAAAAGAACCCCCTAAACAAAATTTATTTTCTCCCGAAATAATTGTCAGAAATTGTTGGTATCAGACCTTAGGATGCTATCTTGTTAAAATGAACGCTTACATGTAATTTAAATTTGATGGTTCGTTATGGAGATATTTTCCAATTGTGTATAACAACTCATTTTTATGTTCTGTCCAATGGAAATTTAATCATTCAAGTGCATGCAGTCACTTATTTTCAAATCTCCAAGCTACTGTGCAACTGTTTGAGATCTGTATACTTTTGCAAATTTCCTTCTAGCTCTACATTCCATGAAACTGATGCTTACTTCAGAAGGGGGTGGCTGTTAATCAATTGTGCAGTTTCAAAGTCCAATAAGTTTGCTCCAGAGAAAGCAACTTAGCTGAAACTGTGCAATTGACCTCGATCAATTTGTAACAAGGGGCTGATCTCATTACTTCTGTAACATTAAGTTTGAACCACGTCAGATCACGTTTGTTTGTTGACGAGAAATAAACATAGTTTTAACATAACACAATATTGTTTAGATCAGTATCCTCATTCTGCTGGTCTTTTGAATGATCCCATGTCTTAAAGGGTGTTGAAAGGCATAAACACATCATTTCAACTGTTGTGGCATTAAAATCCCACTGGACAGAACAAAAAAGCAGTTGTCTGACGTAATCAAGATGATCTCTGCAACACGTTGTTAGATACAAACGAAGTTTTTAGTTTGGAAAAGATGCTGCCTGATGCTTTCATTTGATGCCCTCAAAGAACAATTACTGGCAACTATTTTGGGACAAAATAAATTTTACTGTTGGACGGCATTTGTTTTTATGACACTTTGTGGAGCACACTTCAAATACAGAAAAGGGCACAAACAGAAAAATAAATAAACAGTAAACTACATCATGCCTTAAATAATTCCAAAACTCTGAGAAGTCCCAGCTCCATCTCTGCAGGTGGGACCAACCTGAAGCCATTACATTAAATAATAATATTACTTCAAATGACAATAAACTAAACTTGAATCCAAAATTCATCAGAAGTACTGCTGTTGATATTACATGTGTAATTCACAGGTCACTTCCAAAATACATGTACATATGCATGCAGGTAAATGAAGAAACAATGCATGCATGTTATTGAACCCAATCTTCCAATATTTAAAGACTTCCTGATTATATCAAGCGTACTGAAAATGCTCTTCTTTGTTATGGCATAGCGAAAACGCTGTGTTTAAAATGCCACATAGTTCAACATACATGTACATGTACCCCAAATTACAATGTGGTGATAAACATTTTACTGAAAATGAAACATACAATCATTTAAAATATAAAGCTGGATATACATTATATTCCTCTGGCAGCATATTATGTGCTTATTAACTTCAGAAATTCTGCGATTTCAGTTTGTCCAACAGATAGGACTATTTTTCAAAAATGTGGCAAAACATGCCAGAGAATCAAATCTGGTTTTTATACAAATAACTTTCACGTCTCTTAATTCATAAATTTCTCTTTTAAAGTTCTACGCACCCTTAAATGTACTTTAATAGAATTTTGGCATATAAGTGCACAAATTGACACTAATCAGAAAGGAAAATGAAACCATGTCTTTATCGCACATGCAAACTGAAAACCTCACACAAAATGAACTTACAAACAAGCACCACAGTAGAGCACCAAAGAACGAGGAAAACACCACCGACGATGAGAAGTGCATGTATTATGATGGCAAAATTAATATTTTAACCTCAAATGTCTTATGGCTCCTATGATGTACACAAATTTCAGTAAAATGCAGAGCCCCGTATAGTTTAAACGGCCACTTCACAAATCACACAACAATGCAAACTGAATGTGTTCGACTTTTGGAAATTCACAGGCTGAACGCTTGCCGATTGCCATGACAACAGCCTCTCTTATCCATGTTCACGTTTATGCCGACTGTGAAATGGCCTTTACAGTATTGATAAAACGTTTTGCATTTGTTCAGCATGACGAAGCCAAATGCAGTTTGTGCACATTATCCAGGCGTAATCTGAAGGAACATAAGTTTGAACACTTGTCCAACAGATCTAGTCCCAAATCCCTACTAAATGAATGGGCACAACTTCTTCGAGTTGCTCAGTTCTGAGCTTTACTAACTACAAAGAAAATTTTCTTAACAGGCCACCGCCATGTGGTGCCTTCTGCTTGAAACTTTTGCTGCACACATAAAATTTGCTTAGCAAATTTTTTTCTCCTGAGAAATCTCTATATAATTGGTCCCCCCCCCAGTGTCATGCTAAAAATTGTCCGGCATCGAACAGTGTCAGTGTCATGAACATACTACAATCTGATTGGTCGCACCTCCATGATGGCACACTATCACTGGATGCTTGCTAGACAGCATTTGTACAAGGCATACATGCACATGTAAATCCCACTGCACATTAGAGGACATGACAAGTATTTGCACAGCACAACATTACGGGCACCACATGGTCTTATCCACTCTAGTTCCCAGGTTACTACAGAGATTTCAACTTGGAAAGTACTAGATGTTAGTGGAGGTGGAGAGAAGTTGGTATTTGTCTCGTTCCACATCCCTTTGCTCTTTGGTCTGTCCTCTGCACGAGCCACAAACAAGCATTGCGCACAGCAGGGCATGCAGGGCTAACAAGCTCCCTAGAACAGACAGGGGGGAGGATATGGGACAAGATTAGTTCACAGGTGTGAGTGCCGTTACAGAACCAAATCAACCAACAGAAAAGACGAAGGAAAGAATCCAGTGCAAAGAGGGAATGTAAGTGATCATTTGGTTTCCATTTCACATCCACGTACAAAGCAATTGAGTCCCAGCTTTCCAAAGCCAGACCGAAGGTGGTAATTTTGATGGTGGACAATTTTTCTCTCCCACTGTTAACTGTATCTTCAAAGTGATCCCGAGTTAAAGAAAACAGAAATGTTCCATTTGTTAGGAAAGGAAAGTTGTGGATTTTACATTGTTAACATCTTTCAGATGACACATTATAAATTCTTTAGCTTGGTTTTGGAATGGTGGGTCAGGCGTTCCATCATTCCACATTCAAAATACATCCATTTTTGCACAAGAGATATGCTGAGTTAATGAACACATGGTGCACCACTGCAGACGGAATGGAAACGAAAAGAAAAATGTGTAACTTGAAAAGCAGCAGTGACTCACCTGCAACAATCGCCCAAACATTTTTGTGGTCCAAAAAACAGATGACCGAGAGTGCAATGTAGATGGCACTTCGTTTCCAGTTGTCCAGCCAAGAGACAACCGTCCAAGTCTTCCCACAACAATTGTCTGGTCTGGAAACATTAAAATGGTGGCAAATGTTAAAAGCAGGGTAATTTTTCACTTCTGCACTGTGTTCGAGAGAGGTCCAGCTGAAAAATGGCTCATGCGATACTTTGGGATAGTTTTGTCCAATCCTGCAAGTTCGGGCCATGTTTGTGGACGCATGTTGTCAGATGCAACGGCCAAGCCAAGCCCAAAGGTTTACAGTTTTACTGTCCATCATCCACCAATTAAAATCTTCAGCGTGAAGTCTGCCTGTTCATATTCATGATTCTGTAACTATTGGTAGAAGTACACTTTACGACCTGACATATTTCTCACGGGCACAGAAGAGACAGATTGGTGGGAATATGTTCATCTGGGTCCCTGGGGTACAGTCATACAATCTGACAGACGGTCAAACTGAGAGCACATGCTTAGCATGTTTAGTGCCAAACAGGCATAAACCTGTGCACAAGTAGTCAGTTCTCATCAAACGACCACTATTACTAAGCAAAAACGTTACATACATACATGTATCTTGTTAACACACAGAGCGGGTTATAAGCAAATGTTCTGGAAAAATATAGATGACACTTTGGAGTCTGCAAACTTCTGCCAAAACAAACAGCTTTTTTTTCAGACAGAATGGCATTTTTACATCCCATTTGGGCAGGTGATTAATTTTGGGGCCATCCTTACTTTTGGGACCCTGTACTTCTGCAACAAACGTATGTCTTCCAGAATTGGTCTAAGTTTCACATTTACGAACAAAATCCTCTCTTAAATAACTCAACCCTTCAACTGAGCAAAATGCATGACATCCTGAGGCTGCAAAGGCCATGCGGGATTAATACCCACTTTGTAAATAAAAAAGTCAAGTAAAAATGTGGCGGGTAAAGAAATACTGATTTGGGGTCAGATTTGGCAATGAAGCTGATGGGCCATTGGGCACTTACGAGCAGCATTTCTCAAAACACGGTTCAAAGAAGAAGATCACCTCAAGGAGTGTGATGATGGAAGCAACAACACTGGAATAAACAAAAATCACAATTCAATTCAGCTTCCTGACCTGCATGCTCTGTTTTTTTAACGGGATTAAAATCAAACATTCATTACATGTAATCCCATTCTTGCTGCAAAATCTACCTAATAACTCGGGAACACTGTAAGCCTGCTCTACTGTTCATGACATCAGCAGAGTTCTACTCACAAATTTTCCAAAGTGGAGACATTAAGGCACCAATAAACTGAGAGTGCAGGTACTTATTTTGAAAGTGAAGGTCTGTTAATAACTTTATACATGTACTTGGCGAGAAGGTAAATTTGTAACACCCAAACTATAACATCAGTCCCTGCTAGCGGTATACTGCAACTGATCCCAATTAAAGCCCTTGGGTTTCCTTCTTAAACCTTCTCCAAGTTCTTGTGGCTCACACCTTACAGAATTTGTCCGATATACGCCAAGACGGCATTTCATCCAGAACACTAGCATGAGTTACCGACAAATGAAATGGCGTTGACACACATTATGGCACACAATGGCCCAACTGTATGTATGCTATAGTTTGTGGGCCCATCATTCGAACTATAGTTTGGAGTATCCCAACTACATCATTGGGGCAGGTAGTTTTGGATAAAATAAATAGAGGGGCTGCATGGAGCGCCCTCACACAGGACATGTTTGTTATTTAGATTCATATGACAATGAAGCATTGTAGTATAGCATCTACTCAAGCACATCACACAGGAACAAAGACCTGTTGTGCCGGGATAGACACGACTGTACGGAGACTATGTAACGATGACTGTACGGAGACTATGTAACGATGACTGTACGGAGACTATGTAACGATGACGGTGCTGACATAACGACTTGACTTGAGACTAATAACATGCGCACGTAAACACAGAAACGGATGCTGGGATATGATCAAAGATGGCTGGCAATCAATATTGTGATTTCTCATGTCAGAATGTGATTCCAAAATAAATCATTCATGATTGTTGATGATCAAATGGAAATCTTATGTGGTGAGGTTGTCTGAACCTTAAATGTGTAGCCAACCATTATACTGTCCTCTGTGAAGGTGCTCCGAGCAGCCCCTCTAATTGAATTTGTTACGCTCCAACTATAGCCAACTATATTTGGGACAATCCCAACTGTAGTGCTGCAGTTGGGCTGGCCCAACTATTGTTGACCAATTTCTATAGAAAAATTCTCAACCTTATCCAGGTTTACAAATCTTACACTTGACACAGTTCATCTAAAATATGGCAATTCATCTGTGATATGACACTGTACACAATAATGATTTTGGGGTATGCTGGGTACATGCACAATGAACCTCTGTGCTGTAGTTGGGCCAGCCGAACTATAGCACGCTAGCTGGGACCGGCCCAACTATAGTTGGGACTGGTGCTATAGTTGGGGCGTAACAAATTCAAATTAGATTGCAAAGTCTCAAACATTCAAAAGAATTCAGCTTCAGTGTGGCCTATAAAAACTTCTTCTTTCTTCCAGATGGTGCGCCAACTTCATGAAGTTGAAGACTCAGGCACATGAATGACTTCAGGCACATTACTTGATGAGGTCAAATTCATTAATTTGACCCTTGACTGACAAACCAAGATTAATTTTGTGACTATGGCCGCACGAGGTACACTCAGGCCAAGACAGGCATGTCAGGTTTAAATCAACAAAAGTAAAACTTACATAAAATAAATGCCATAGAGATCGGGATCAGGATTGGGATCGTTTCTTTGCAATGCTGTGATCCCTACTGCCCAGAAAGCTGTACAAATTAAAAGGAAACAAAGTAAGCAAAAATAATCGGTAGACCTCATTCTAACTGCAAACAAAATCAAAATAAAAAACTGCCAAACTGTGAATGCTGACAACATCAAATGAAAGGTGGGGCAGAATTTAAGAAAATAAATTATTGAAGAATGGGCCACGCCCCCAGCAAGCAACAGCATGTCCACGGGCTCCTTTTCAAAATTAAATTGATGGATTGTGAAAACACAATCATCGTAAGCATGCAGGACACGTTCAGTCAAAACCATATCAAGTTACCACCCTGTTGCCAAAATAGGCTTCAAAGTGTAGGGTTTGGGGCACCAATTAACACTCCACATGCTCTATTTTCTATGCATGCACGCTCATGACTCTTGGTCATGAAAGTTACATAGGCTAGGCCTACTTCGGATATAGGGCTTAATTTCGAATTGTCAAACGTACCTGCAGCGGTCCCCATGCCCCATATCCGGACAATTGGGGTGTAATACCTCCATATGAACTCACAGTAAGGATTTTGACAACATTCACAAACCATTCTGAACGAGAAACTCTCGCACCCAAGTGACTACATTGAGCAGACGTTTTACTTCGGTCATAGGTCAAACGTCCTTGGCCCGGCTAACCTTGTTCCATAGATTATAACAGTGATCAATGGAGCTATGATAGTACTGCTTGGGGACGAGATTGCGCTGCAAATCATGGCGGCCTCCGGAGTGAAGCGTAAACTTGTCGACATTCCTGATGATTTTTCAGACAGTGATGATGAAATTGGTAAATATACAGGAATAACATTGGTGCGATTGTATTCGTCATGTTGGACAAAGAAGGGAAGAAATTTCCTACTCTTTTGTGGATGAGAGTTGAATTTGGTTTTCCATGGCGAGCTGCCATGCATATGCAATGATGCATATTGCTATTTAATAACGTTTATTCATAGTCAGTTCATCAGTGTTAATTTTTTTGTCAAAGAACATTACGAAGATTCGAAGTAGAGCTTGAGGTAAGAGCTTTCTACGAACCACTTTAAAGCCGACCGTATAGCCACAATTTTCAGCACCTTCACCTTATTCAAGACATTTCAAGAGTAGGCCTACAGCACCTTGAAGGGTGCATTGTTCAGCACCTTCAAGAGTACATGTTCACGATTCATGTCTAGACATTATCTGACTCTACTGCCCGAACTGTGACTCACAGTCAGAGGTCCAAATTTTCCTGGTTCATAATGCTGGGATTTTGAATAAGGGGCCTACATATATACATGTATATGCCCATTTATTTTGCCTAAGAGTTAAATTGCACTTTGTCTATCAGATCTCCCCCTCCCATGCCGTCAAAACTGAATAATATCTCATTTAAATAACACTCGTGCATGATGTTTTTTGGACCATGTAACCAGTTCTTTGGCAAAATCCAGACATTTTATTTATGATCCTGCCGCTCTTCACCAATGACATGAATGTTCTGCAAATCTAAATGTAGAGCTGCATACTGTGGTGTATGTCTGTTGACATGCAGACTGGTTCCTGTCCTGTCCTATTACTCCAAACGTATACAGAGGGACAGCAACCAGTCAAATAAGGAGGCTGTTGTTTTGTTATTTTAATTTAGTTAACTGAAAAAAAATGGTACTAGTTCACTGCAAACCGTACACTTTGTACATGTGACACCCAGAAGTAGCACATTGTGGCAGAGGAATATGGGACAAAATAAAAAAGCCTCCAGGAATCAATCACAGGCAGTCCCACCATCCATTTTACATTATTCCACAATGTTTCAAAGGACCTCCAGATCTGATGCATGTGCATTGTTGCTACTATGCCATCAACACCATTCAGAAAACTCTCGGCCTCCTTGCCTGGCAACCTACAGTATAAGTTTCATCCTAGCCATGACAGCTGTTTTATGTGTGATTTGAAAAATCAGAAGGCCTTGTCCAAAGTTGAACCGGTCAATTTTTTTTTAAATCTGGAGTTTATTTGTTGGACTTTTTGCGTTTAGCTCCTGTGAAGGATCCCAAGATTGACAAGAGTAGAAGCTGTCCATACTTGGACACAATTAACAGGTAAAAACTGGGACAGAGCCTGAGTAGTGAAGCACCTTTACCTATGACCAGAAGTTCTTACATTCCAACCTGGAGTGCATTTTGGTCGTCCTTACCAAGAATTGGTTTGGTTGTTTCTCTTTGGTGAATTGCTTTGAGGATTTGAGTACGACATCACCACATGGAATTCCTACCCAGTGAAACTTACCAAAGAAAATCAGTGAATTACAACCGAATTAACTTTTGGTAATGACCGCCAAGACACCCGAGTGATGGCCTGGTCTTGGCAATTGGGATATGAGTTATAAGAGTAATATGTACATCTGTATTCTGTTGAAGTTTACTTTCTTGCCCATTTCTTAGTAGGGACCAATTTCGTGCAGCTGGTCAACAATAAATGGCAATGTGCTTTCTTGTTAATGCCCACATATAAGGCTGGGCCAGTTCAAATAATTGTCTCTTTGAATATTCAAATGTTCAGTTGCACCAAATTTCCAGAAAAGTGGGCGCAAGATATATTTATGCTTTACCAAAAGTAACAAAACAAAAACTGGAAGGAAGCATTATTTTTAGCCGCATTGATTTGTTGGCCAGAAGCATTCAGCTGCCTATAAGGTTACATGTAGTATCTTCAGATATGCCTTTAGAATGTAACTTTCTAACAAAATCTTTCCTTTTTCTGGTATATAGATAGATTTCCCTTCCAAATAGTCAATTTCAAACAATAAATATTTGATAATTGATCAATATCCAATTTGAATAAGTGGCACAGCCCTAATGTAAGGCTGTGCCAATTATTCAAATTGGATATTGATTAATTATCAAATATTCATATTTCTCATGTCTCTGATTAATAAGCTCGCTGCTTTGAGAAGCCACATGAAGTAGAGTTTCTAAAAGCAGGAAATAATCTGTAATCAGAACCAGGAAATTTGGCCAAGTCGTTTCATTTGGATGGGTTTTGGAATTTTAGGTTTCAATAGCATCGATGTGATGGAATGCGTGATACGTACTGCTGAAACGATTTCTGTGCATGAAAAGATGTCATTTCTTCATTTTGTGGGCTTGCAGGAGTTTACTGGATTTTGACTTTGAGAAGCTCTGCTCAGTCTCTCTGTCACACCTCAATGTCTATGCATGCCTAGTGTGCGGGAAGTACTTCCAAGGTAAGACATGGTAATCAGTTGTAGCATTGCTCATGACCGAGAGATCATCATCTAATTTGATTGAGGGCAACATTTCTTCGCAAACTTGTACCCGATACAGGATCTCGTAAAAAGAATGAAAAAGGAAGCGTTTAAGATCCACTTGAGGTTTCGAATGCATTGAAATTTGGTGTTTTTTTTCTCCCCCAATTTCCCCTTTTTAGGGCGGGGCCGCAAGTCCCACGCCTACACCCACAGCGTCCAAATCAACCACCATGTGTTTCTCAACCTGCACACCCTCAAGTTTTACTGCTTGCCCGACAACTACGAAATCATTGACTCCTCACTGGAGGATATCACCGTGAGTACTGTAGGATCCCGTTGATAGCTTTAATTGATCTTGACAACATGATATCCAGCCTGGTTTAGCCTACGGCACGCTGACTGCACGAGCCCAGAAAGGCTCTCATCAAAAAGTAACTTTTGTTTCTCTCTGGTCCCAAATCCCCAACTTTGCACTCAACCAATTACTCTTTTTTCTCATACTAAAACTTTCCTTGAACATCAAGCCCCAATGTGAAATAATAATCTTCTTTGACATGGAAGAGTTTGAAGTATTTAGGGAGGGGTTGGTCCTATTTCTACTTAACCTTGTTTCCTCACAAGAATTTGCAAGAAACCTTCCCAAAACTTTCCACTGTGTAGAAAGTGTGCTCAAACCTCTATGAGGCATCTGTCACAAGAATGGCCAACTCTACCCATTTCTCTGCTCGATATCCTTTAAAAATAGCCAAACAAAAATGCATTGCATGGGCCCTTTAAGAGCCATTGAAAACATTGAAGTCTGAACCCTAATCCTTGATGTACAACGAATGTACAGTATACCATGTGAGTGTGTGAAGCATAGAAATGGATCAGTTTAAGAAATTAATGTCTTTGTCTTTTTCAGTATGTACTGAAGCCAACATTCACAAAGGAGCACATTCAGAGTCTTGATAGCAACACCAAACTCTCCAGAGCCTATGACAAAACCACCTACCTACCTGGCATCGTGGGGCTGAACAACATCAAAGCCAACGACTACTGCAATGTACTTCTTCACGTAAGAGCCAAACAATTTGCCCATGAATGACTGGCAGGTTTTTTTTAAAAGGTTTCAGATAAGATATATGCGGGATATTGGTGTTGTAGTTTTTCTAATCGCATGTAGCTTTAAGCTTCCTGTGTTCCTGGAAAACCCTTGTGTCAAGACGAAATCTTGGTGTTCTGAAAGACGTTTATGAAGAGCAACTATGAAGCTCAGTGAAGAAAAGTACTTCGTCAATGAAATTCCAGGTTTAAACTTTTATACAATGTTTTAAACATCAATAGCATCATGAACTTGCACTGATATCGCTGTGGATGAAAATCATCATGCCAATTGAAGCCGTTTCTCCATGTGTAAATTTGCCCGATTCTGCCTGGTGATCACAGGCCACATCACATAAAATTTACGTTTTGAGATTGCATCCATCCTCTCGTCTGGTTGTTCCTCCCGTCAACAGGCCCTGGCACACATCGTCCCTCTCCGGAACTACTTCCTGGAGGAGAAAAACTACATCGACATCAAGCTGCCGCCCGGCGACATCATGTGCCTCCTGTCCCAGCGCTTCGGCGAGCTGATGCGCAAGATGTGGAACCCCAGGAACTTCAAAGCCCACGTCAGCCCCCACGAGATGCTGCAGTCGGTGGTCCTGTGCAGCAAGAAGAGATTCCAGATCACTCAGCAGGGTGAGTGACGGGGGTTGTGGGAGGGGAAGATGGGGCATTGCTTGGAAGTTTTAGACACCGCAATTATCAGGGGATCTCATGCTGTTGGAAAAAGTTAATCGAACTTAATGATGATAACTTACCATTGTGTCTGTTGGCATGTCTCTCTGCAAGCATTGTAACCGTTATAAACATTTCACAGGAGAGAGGGAGAATTGAATTGGATTTATGCTGGCATTTCTAACTGAAACTTGGCCCTAAGCCTACTCTGTCCCATTGTCTAAATAAGAAAGATTTTTCAGCCATCCACGACTGTGTTTGAATTAATAACATATCATTAGAAAGAGGGGATCTGTGGCTCTAAGTTGGTACTCGTCATTTTGGTGTAAAACTAACACAATCTCCATAAAATTGAATATAAATGTGTGTGTTTTTTGGGGTTTTTTTTGATACACTCTGTATACCCCTTATCCCCCGGGATTTACGCACATGGTCAGCGAAAACGAGTTTCTTGCCGGTGTGCGGGTGTGTCATAAAAACACGGGTTGGACCCGAGAACAGAGGGCGGCAGCATGACATGCATGTAATGTTTGGCAACAACTTAGTGAAGCTATGGGATTTGCTTTAGAGCAATTCACTGAATGTTGCACAGTTGCGCTGTTTTAAAAATTGAAAGGCCTTGAATAACATTAACTGCTGCCTTGGGGATGGCTGTTGTATGCAGTTAATCTACACTACCCTATCATACAAATATGACTCCATCTAACAAAATGAGTCATATACACCACAACCACTTTCAAGTTAGAGGCTTTTAAATGTATCTCCCATGATCTAAATCAATAGGGAACTTCACCTTTTTCACTCGCGCAGTGTCAATTTTCAGCAACATGCCAAATAGATAGATACGTCAAATAAAAGAGCTCAGTGTGTTCTTTTTAACGCAAACTGAAACAAAAGGTACTGAAAAATCACCTTAGGACTCAGTTTGGGGGATCCAGTCTCATTTTTGTTAAATCTGTGACTAGGTGACCCAGTGGAGTTCCTGTCCTGGTTTCTCAATGCTCTGCACGCGTCGCTGGGCGGAACCAAAAAAGCCAAGAGCAGCATCGTGTATACCACATTCCAAGGAAGAATGAAGGTCTTCACCAGGAAGGTCATACCCATGGATGTACCGGACAAGGAAAAGGAAGCGCTGTTGAAAACCGAGGAGTACAAAGGTATTTGGAAGGAAAACCAATCTTGGTTTCCAATCAGAGCTCCATTTTAGATTCCACCTGCCTCTAGGCTGTGCCAGAACCCGGCTATCCAATTACTTTGGGCAAAACATGAATCTGGTTTAAAATCCGACCGCCTCGGCTCACTCTGTTCCAATTCAGTGGCCTTCTCGGTGCCATCTGCGAATCCACTCTGAAACGGGTAATGCTGAATCCGTTCCAAATCCAACATGAACTGAGCTGACAAAATAAGAACAAAATAAGAAGTTGAGCAACCATGTCAGAGTTCAACCATGTGAACTCTGTGGCAACGTTGCCATCATCCGTAGGCAACTGGTCGTACAAAATCTGAGCAAAGGTGAGCAAATTAAGTCAAGTCCAAATTCGTTATTTGGTTGTAAATCTCAGCGCTGCCCTCTTCCACAGCCATGTTCCTGAGGCATAACTACACAATGCCCCCATTTGAAACTTCGAAAGGTACACATCACATGCGCAAGCCAAAGTTAAGTTGCAAGCCCCCTTGCAAAAAAAAACTGCCCCCCCCGGGTGTACCCCTCCCCCCGACATTTCAGCCTAGTTACGCCACCGCCGTGTTCATTCCCACAGAGACGGTCTCAGAGACGCCCTTCCTATACCTGACTCTGGACATCCCCCAGGCGCCGCTCTTCAAGGACGAGTTTGAGCAGAACATCATTCCCCAGATCCCATTGTCTTCGCTCCTGGCCAAGTTTGATGGCGCGACGGAAAAGGTCAGCCCGACAATCCACTGCAGCTAAAAATTGGACCGGCTACTAAAATATTTGCCGCAGTAGACTGACGTTGGAACATTTTATGTTCAGTACAGTTTATTTCAATACAGACGTCCTTGGCCCATCATTAGTTCTATGCAACAGCTACTTTAATCATCTTTTGGCCAGGCCTTTTTTATCACTTTTTTTTCCAGTTCAAATGCAGTGAGTTGAGTTTTAGTGTCACTGTAATGGGTCACTTTTCCACAAATTGTGTGCCAATGCAAAAGAGAGTACCAGAAATTATTTCCAAGCTTGAACAAACATGCATATTTGAAAGTCTCATTTGGGATAAGATGTTTATGTTCATGTCAGATGACATTACACGGATGTACATGTATGTGTGCATGGCTGTAGGATGTTCAGCTTCCAGTTGATGTCAGAAATTGATTTAATTTTTTTTCCGGTCTCTTGGCATGGATTCAATCCTGACGGGTTATCAACAGATTTCTCTCGAGTCCATTTAACCACCTGTTTTGTTGTCAACCAATACAAAACAGGAGTACAAGACCTACAAAGATTCCACCATCAAGCGATTCCATCTGACCAGACTACCTCCGTACCTCATACTTTGCATGAAACGCTTCAACAAAAACCTATTCTTCACTGAGAAGAACAGGACAATTGTCAACTTTCCTGTCAAGTGAGTGGACTCTGGACAACCGTATTTTCTCAGATACAAGGCTGTCCAGTCTTCCTGACTGTCCATTTTTGTTTTTCTGTAATCTGAAGCCAAAAAAAAAATTTTTACAAATAACTAAAAGGGTGCATTATTGACAGTGTGCTAGTAACTTTCAAGAAAAAAAAATTCGTTGGAATGACCTTTTGACAAAGTATTACCTTTTTTGTCTACTCATATAGCTGAGTAAATGGTATTGAAATGCTCCACTTGTTGTGCATGTACAGTATATGAAATTGTACGAGATTTATTCATCCCGTGAATTCAAGTTTAGCCGGTCAACTCGAAACCACCATTTATTAAAAAATCATATCCTTGACCTACAATCCCTCGTTAACACAGGAACATGGATTTCACAGAGTACCTGTCAGATGATCCTGAGGTCCGCCGGCAGAACCCATCGACCACCTACGACCTTATCGCCAACATTGTGCACGAAGGCGAGCCGGGCTCGGGAAAAGGAATCTACAAGGTGCACGTTTTGCACAAAGTAAGTTTCACTGGGTGCGATGCTTGATATTTTTGTCCAATAATTCCAAATCCATTCCTACATTTCCTGAATTTCTTCAAGAGAACCTGAATTTTAAACATTGGAATTTGGTTTTCAATATGATGCCTGGCAAAGAGTTTTGCTGACCGCTAAAAATGTTTCACAAGTATTTGAAAAAATGATTCTTTTTGGTTTTCTTCCACAGAGCACCAGCAAATGGCACGAGATTCAGGACTTGCACGTAGCCGACATCCTGCCACAAATGATCACCCTCTCAGAAGCTTACATCCAGGTAAGTTGTACTCTGGGTAGTAGGTTACTAGAGATTTACGATTCAGACAAGCTGCCACACATCCTGATTTTTACCCTCGTTGCATTGTAAGGAGTTTTCAAACAATGTGGCACAGTAAGGCAAGCATACATTGTGATGTGTTGCCTTTAAAGCAACATGCATTGAAGTTTTTATCGAGAGTTTCTTGGTGTTGTAGTTGAGACCTCTTTAACCATTCCTGCTGGGTGCTTTTAAAAATGCAGTGCGTACATATGGGCAATTTTCAAGATTTTCCGTTTTCAAAATTCTTCAAAAATTCATAATTCCATTTAATGGACGTTTACACCCACACGAATGACTGTCTGGTGTCTACTCTTATCTGACATGCAACTTCCATTGATGCCCGAGTATTTCAGCCAGGCCTGCTGCCCTGTAAAAAGAGCCCAGAATTGTGAGGTGTTACGTAATTTCCTTAGTGGATTACTATGGATTACTAAGCAGCGGTACTGTATTGCTCATCGATGGGGAGCTGGAGCTTTTTTGTCCGCGGTGCTAATCCGCGGGTGCGCTATGCCCAAAACAGTGGTGTACTATTCCAAAGCAATGACGGATTACCTCCGACAAATGCAAGCTGAAAAATGTTGGCAACTCCAGCAGCAGGTCTTTTGTTCCGAGTACAGTCTTTCGTTACAAGGCCCAGCTCTTTTGTCGGATTTCGGGCACCCCGGCTATGCGTACAAAGCCAAGGTACTCGAAACCGGGTTCCCCGGCAGCATATGGTTTGTAAGACCATACTCTTATCACAAAGGCATAAACAAAAACATGCCCCTAAAAGAGCTTATTAATACTTCCAGTTCTTTCAATCGTTTTTGGCATCCTGTTCGTTTTCTTTTCGTGACCAGATCTGGGAGAGAAGGGACAAGAGGAGCGAGGATTCTGGAGAGCAAAAGAAAAGTGAACAGCAGAGGGCGCCAGAGACATAGCACAGCAACGATATTGGCTGGTCCCTAAAAGTAAACCAAACAATACCTCCGTGGTTTCTTTGCAGCAAATATGAAAAGGGTGAAATTCTTTTAATGAACTCACTTCCACTGTTTTGTTCCAAGCTAGCTTTGCTCTTATTTTTTTTATATTTCTTCACTTGTTATTCTCATTGAGGATCATTTGTGTCACAGTTGCTACGTTAGAGGGGTCTGTACGGCTTACCTAAAAATGCAAAATTTCAGTTGTATTGTCGTCGGGTACATTTTAAGCCCGTTGGCACTGTAAGCTAGAAAAAAGACACTACATTTTCACTTATTAAGTTTATTACTGTCAAATCTAGAAAAGCAAGTACAATTTTGTGACAGAAAATCACTTAAATGTAAAATGATGGAAGAGGAAATTCTGGAGTATGAAAGTACATTTCAAATTTGACTCGGTGGTCTATTCTACTTCAAATCGACTGGCATCATCTTCGCAAGTAACCCTACACGACACAAGGCAAAAAACCACAAACAATCTAAACTGAAAACACAGGACAAACTTGAAGCAACATAAAAAGCACACACAAATTATGCATTACAAATTAACAAAAATTCCAACTTTTAAAGGTTTACACAAAGAAGCATTTTAATCTTTTTCAGTTGCCTTTACCTTTTGTTTCTGGAAACGGCAGTCTTGATTTTTTAAATTGCCGACATCAGCCGTTTGAAATTTTCCCACTGGTGGGAGCCACAAATGTGTTACACGGTTTCACTTTCATAACGCTCATAAAATTTACAAAGTGCTCCCACTTTGTAAATTTTTAAATTGTTAGATTTTAAAATTTGGTGAGGTTTTAATCCTCAAACGCATTGGTGGTCGTCCAGCTCCTTACACAAGATGAGAGAAGAATTGCATTCAGATGTGTGACTGCAACCTGCCCCTCACTGGAATGAGCAACGACAAGGGTAGAGCGTGCCTGCCCGTCGCTAGGCTGAAATGCAAAGAAACGGAAAAGTAAGTCCCCACATCTGACCCGAGTACGGCAAAAGAGGTAACTGTCTGAGCAGACCTTGTCAGACCCCCTCGGTCCGGTGTGAGAAAACCGGAAATGTTTTTCCTCGTTGCTTCTAGCGTGAGCCATTCATTGGCCATCTTTAGGCTCGGCCGTACCCATTTACCAGCAGCTGATTTTGCAAAACCTGGCATAATATTGCACCCTATGAAAGCCCTATGCCACAAACGTGGCATAGCTGTGCCGTATGCTTATGGTTGATTTCACAAAAGTTGCTTCGCTGCAAAAGTTTTAATTATATGAAACTTCTCAGACAAGGAAGATCAGGGCTTTTATGAACACTGTTCATAGGTTTGCTCCGTCTCAGTCGGAACCAGGCAGAAAACTCTCTCACAACCAAAACAGTTGTCAGTACCTCCAAAAACAAAACTGTGTGTTTCTTGTATTAACCTTGTTAAAGTTGAGCAATAATCAACCTTTACCAAACAAGATTAGTTATGGAATCGTTTATTTGCAATTTGTTCGGCACAACTTACGCCACCCAAAATGACTAAGTTATACCATGATTTGGTGAGCAAGTTGTGGACTTTACGCAGTGCATTACTTTGTAAAATACGCCCTTATTTTGTTGTTTGAGTTACGCACTGATATATCCTGTAAGCAAAATTACACCACTGCATAAGCACTGTGATCTGTAAGCAAAGTTACGCCACTGCATGTGTTGTGAAATCGACTGGAGGACATCTACACATGATGTGGCCATCTGTATACAAGGGTATGGCGGATGGGTTGAAACGTCAAGCATGCCTTAACTCGCCTCTTAATGATACTGTGTGTTAAACTTGGCCGCTATGCACGGCCTGTTTGTGGTGGCAAATATCGCTCAGTGGGCACGCCCCAAGGTGTCGAAAAATATGAGGTAGCGACATTATCATACAAATACTGTTGAGGTGACTCTTGTGAAGTCACACTTTGTGGCATGTGGCCGTAAATCAAAAGTTGGCCGCCATATCTGTCGTGTGCTTTTTTTAAAAAGTCGAAATTTCGGTCTAAAATAATACCATCAGAGCACACTTAAAACTCGAAATTAAGGGGACTGCACTCACGCATGACTCTGACTGGCAGGTAGCAGCACTTGCCACTGGTGCGGTTGGGTGGTATGTGACAGAAGGCATCCCTGGGGCAGCTGTCGTACGATTTGGCGCACACCAGGTCGGGAATGGTGTTATCGACGTTGCCAAGGCATGGCTCATCTGTGGAGTAAAGTCAAATAGAAGCAGGTGCACCTTTTTCTAGATCTTCAAGTTTGGGAAATGAATGCATTCAACACGATTTACTTTTCACACTCACCTTCACAAAATTTCGAAATACAGGTGCGGAATTGAAAAGGGTGTCTCAATGATGGCCCCTTACAATGAAATCACACACCCCTTCACAATAATTCATTAAAATACACCTAAAAGTAAAATAGCCAATTCTTACAAAATAGTTGAAATCAAGATCTAAAAAAGCAACATCTTGAACTGTGATTTCAGAGTTCCAGATTCGTCAATATTTGTCAAGAAAAATGGAAGTTAGTGTCACAGAAATAGGGCGTCTTGATCCGTATCTCCTCAAACATGTATTTCACTTCTGCAATCCATCCCAAATCACACTTGAAGGAACTCAGTTTTACACCTTTTAATTTAAGCTGGAACTGTCATGGATGGTTAAATTGTTGCAACAATTGATCAACATTGTAAAGAGTTCCTGAACCTAATAAGGAAAATAAATAGGGCCGAGTCAATTCGAATAATTCACTATTCGAATATTCAACCTTCAATTTGATTGAAAATCCGAAAATTCGGTCATACCAACTGGCACATTGTTGATGAACAAACCATATACAAAATCATTTGCAATAACACACACATGTGTACATTATGATCAGTATACTAGCTTCTCACATCTAGGAGCATCTCCAGCCACGATTTAGCAAGATTTAAGCAATGAACAATATTTCTTTCCCTGTTGTAAATTTCTTTTCTTTTTAAATTGTTTAACCCTCCTAGTGTTTTAACCGTCAAAAACAGTCAAAAATGCCTTCCAATTGATTTCCCCCAGACATGTATGGGAAATTTGACTGATATGACAACTGTGTGAAGAAAACATCAAATCAAAAGAGGGTTAATGAATAATTTACTTTTTGAATCATTGTTAAGCTTTTCATTTGAATCTGCTTGAAACAAGCCTCCATACGCTATTTTTTTCACTTAAAGACAAAAGAAAATTTTCCCTTCTTTTAATGAATTTTGCATGAATTCGAATATTTGAATTTGAAAAAATAATATTCGAATACTCAATGATCGATCAAATATTTGGATATCCGGCACAGCCCTAACATGCCAATACTTCTAGAACCAATTTATGAAAATCCAAACAGTAGAACTTGTCCCTTGAAAAGCGCTGAACAGAAACAGGAAAAAAATAGGCTTGACTTTTTCCAGCAAAATTTGTTGCATTCCGTCAGGTCTAAAAATCAAATTTCCAGTGCTAAATTAATGAACAGACAAAGTTTCAAAATAACTTGGTCCGCACAAAATTCCATGTCTTCTTCTCCAACCCTACTAGTTGGAGACGGGGGATTCAAGAAAGTCAACATTTTGTGTGTATGTACTTCAAGGGCAGCCCCAAGCTGTCAAACACAACTTACTGCAATTGAGAGGCTCCCCTTGCTGTTTGAGGGATCCAATCACCACCGTGCCGTCCTTCTCGCTACACCAACACTCGCCAGTCACGGGACTGCACTGAGCAGGCTCGTACCAGCCCGTCAAGCTGCAGACGGGATCGGTGATGACAGGATCTCCTCGTTGGCGCTTCAAGTTGTTCGTCTTGAGCTCCCTGCGACACGGCGGATCTGTTGGGGGAGGGGAAGAAAAGGACCCGTAAGAAATGGGGGTAAAAACTGAGACAAAATGAACGACCGGGGTCCCGATTGAGGGAATGCAGAGAAATCTGCATGACCTCCAGCAGAGGGATTGTGACAATGACCATGAAGGCAGGTGGTTTGCAGCGACACCATGCACATGTAACTTGAAAGATCAATCTTGTTTGTGAGTATGTGTGGCTCAGAAAGGAGCCAGTTTACTTGAGTTGATTTGATAAATCTAGAAAATGCCCGAGAGTAAACTGGCTCCTATCGGAGCCAAAAAATAAAAGAGATTGATCTTTCAAGCTACATGGTGTCATCACAAAACACTTGCCTTTACGTAGACCCACCATTCAAAGCTTCAGATCTTAAAGTACCTTAAAATAATCAGGGATAAGAGTGAAATATTAAAATAACGCTGAAAATAGCTGAATTTGTGAGCGCGAAGCATATACTGCGTGGGGTACGGGGCCCTTGAGGGGGTCCTGGGGAAAATTTTGAAATGAAGATGCTCTGGTGCAACCGTTGATCATTTTTTTGTTCTTGCAATTTAGGCTATGCATATTTTTAATAGTTTTCTTCATATTGACTGAAATTCCTGAAGAGGTTAAAATGAATGGAAAGAGTTTACGGGCAACGCTAATTTTACCTTAAAATATACACAGCCATCAGAAAGTGAAAACGTCCTTAAAGTGAAAAATAGCCAAGAAAAATCCAAAGCATTTACTTAGAAAACAGGTTTTTTTTTTTCAGAAAAAGTCTCGTACGTTTATAGGTTTTATAATAGTTTTTCAGGTTCCTGATTAGGCACAGGTTTTCTAACAGATGGATATGATTATGTAAATCTAGCACTTTTTTCACTGGAGTACTAATTTACTAAAATGCAACAATCGTGGCTTGTTAAACCTCCCAAACTCCTCAACTTTTGGACAAAATCCTGAAATCTGGGGAAAAAAACCGAGAGACTGCATCCCTGAATAGCCTTGGCTGCAGGAACCCCACCTGAGATTCTGAACACAAATCTTGAAAAGATGCATGGAATCACTGCACTATGTTGCAATGAAAAAGAAGGTTCAAATGAGGTGATCCCTTAAAGTAAAGGCCAGGACCCAATTTCACGGCTCTGCTAAGCACACAATTTTACAGTAACAGATTTAGAGGCTCCATGTAATAAATGAAGACTGTAAGCAGTGAGCATGGCAAAAGGCACGCTTACCTCGGAGGAAAAATTGGCTTAAAAGCAGTGACAAAACAATGGAAATCTCTTTGTGCGCGACTGTAAGCACAATCACACCAAGCGTCGCCATGAAACAGTGCTCATGGTTAGCCAAAATTTTCTGCCATAGTAAGTACGAATTTTCTTCTAACTGTTAAGGACCGCCAAGAAATTGGGCCCGGTTCACATTTCACTCGGAAGCAAACACAATTATGAATTTGTGATAACGTATCAATAGTTACAAAATCGCAAAAGATGAACACATTTCAACTCAAGCAAATTCATCTGCAAAGGCTTTGAGACAAGTGTATTCATCTCAAGCATGGCGTTAAATCTAAAGTGGGAAGAGAAGTCAAGATTTTTACTATCCCTTGCTTATCTTGGTACAGCGGTTGTCAGAAGAGACAACAAGAATCCCATCGGCTGTCTCACCTGATTCACAGATGAAGTCCTTTCCGGGTGGGATGTCCAGTTGTTCCGCAGCCAAGGAACCATCCAGATTGACGCACCAGCACTGACCAGTGGTGTCGCACTGCTTCGGGGAGAAATGCCCGCTCTTTTGGCAGCGAGGAAGCGACTGGGTGCCCTGGGGAGTGGTGATGTATTCTGTCTCACTGCAGGCCGGCACAGGATCTGATTGCGAAAAAAAGAAGTAACAGGATGCCTCATTTCACAAAACTGTCCGGCACGTAAATGAAGAAACCTAAGACGGTATTTTGGCCCAGCTGGGTCCAATTTCGCAACTCTCCGCTAAAAATCTTCTCCAACCGTAAAAACGAAATTCTGTGCAAATGGTATGCTTATATCACAGGTGGCGAGAAACTCTGTTTGTGTGCGTACAGAAATACTACAACTCTTTGCTTACTTGATTAGCATGGGATTGTTGCGGTAAGCACAGAATGCCGATAGTAAGCATGGAATTCTGAGGTTAGCCAGGCCATGAATTGGGCCCTGATATTTGTGTGACTCATTCAAACTGGGCCCAGGGCTGGTTCAGCAGAAATCCACAACACAGTATCTGGATACTTGCGAAAGCAGCATTATTTGTTCTTTTTACAGCTGATGTTAACAACGGAAATGACAGAATGTCGAAGAATAGGGTCTCGGTGTACTAATAATTCCCTGGTCTGCGGATTTCCTATAAATGGAAAAACAACACACAAAACGGGACTACTGTACTACCAGTAAGTCTGCAGTGAATTCTTTCTTTTTATGTTACGAAGCTCAAGCATTTGGCCAGTTGATTATCAAAAAAGACCTAACCGATAATATACAGAACGCTCTCCTATTTTTTATACCTCTTTGCGTGGAACGCGGATATAAAAAGGTGTATCGTGGGTTTCACATGTACACCCACACTCTGGACTCTGCTGAGGCAACGCACTGATATCGTCTTCATCTGTGCTAGCTGTCCTAGCTTCCAATTTTAACCTTCATAGCTGCGTGGGCTTCGAAATTGGTTCGCTGGCATTTGGCGTTTACAGCAGACAGGTCCATTTTTGTATCTTTTGCAGTAATAACAAGTTCATAAGATCGGCAGACTGCGAGCAGCTTTGTATCCGGTATTTGACTTTGGATGAGTGTCCGCAGCTGCTGGTAATTTTTTGTAAGGATTTCTTCTCAGCAGATGCAGGTTAGTGACTCGGTAAGATATAGAAGTAAAGCGTTCTTATTCCCTAAAAGTCGGTGCTCAAGGAAAGTGAGTCCAGTCCTACCTGCTGATGGTGAGCACTCAAGTTCTTGATTGACCTTGTCGTGAAAGATGGCCGTACATGGTTGGCAGTAGTCGACATGGCAGGCTGCCTCGGGATGACTCTCACATGTGCCAGTCATGCATGGTGATACCAAGCACGTCCGCACTGGACCAGTATCGTGACAGATGACGTCAGAGCCTGAAATACAGTGGAAGACGCAGCTGCGTCAGGTTGGTTCGTAGCATCACGTTGCAGTTCAGTATTTCAAAAAGGCAAAGGTTACTCACGAGCGAAGTACCCAACGTCACACCAGCTTGGGCATGCTCGCCGAGTGTGAGTCAGTGTCAAACCCCGCTAATAGGACCAACCCCAAGATTTGGCACTTTAAATCACTGTACATGGGCAAAACCCAACCATGAGACTCTTTTGTTGAGCCCTAGCTGTCATCGCCAATATTCTCATCATTTCTCATGAAAGATGGCTGTACATATGGTCGGCAGTAGTTGACATAGCAGTAACTCCATGTCTATTCCGAGAAAACTCACGCTTTTTAATGAATTACATTAATTCACTCATAGTTAGGGAGTCAGGTGTGTTAGAATCCCACCTAGGTCAACATGTGGATTGGGTTTTCGGTCCCAGCCTGTTGCCGTGGGTTTTCCCTGGATATTAATCCAGGGTTTCCTCCCACCTCTAAAACTGAACATTTCTTCACTGTCTTCTTAACTTGTCACTTCATGCTGCGATTGTCACTAAATGCGCTGTTTCATGAACAGAAATAAATAAATGCACGTACAGCTCGGGGATATTTGGATCCTAACAAATAATTAAATACAAAACGTAACCGAACAGTTGCACGTTGATCAATTATTCATAAATACCTCAGAGAGTTTCCCTATTTAACAACGCGCAGAGTGACCGTGTATTAATATTTGATAATGCGTGCTGCAATTTGATAATACCCGCTGCATAAAAAACGTGCCGACACCTGGATATGAGACAGTTTAATCCATCCCTATTGGGCAAGCATCCATGTGAGCCTCAGCATGCAGAACACACCACGTGCACGGCAAGTCAATATAAGGCGATTCTTCTAGACAACTTGCACAAGGAATATACCATAAAATGGACGGGGATGTTTAGGACAAGGAAACTAAAATTCTAGAACAAAATCTTTGGAAATCTATCATCTATTGACGTCTTTTGACTCTCTGACTAAAAAAAGGTATCTATGAATGGGAATAAATATGTGCTTGGCAGAACTTGAACTCAATGTTTAAGACTGGCTCGGGGGATTATATTCATTCCCTTATCACTAGGGTAAAAGATATAATTGCAGCTCTAGAAATAAAGCAGAAATCACACTCAAGTCACTAACTGATTGGTGGGCCCGAGCAGCTGTCAACGACTTGGTCATTTTCGTCATAGAACTTGACAGAGCACCCTCCGCAGCGGCTGATGCGACATGTGGCGTGGGGGCGCTCTTCGCAAAAAGCATCGATGCAGAGGTCATCGGGGCAGGAGTGGGCGACTGTGAAAAATGCAGGGCACTCCGACAGAGCTTCCGGAGGAAAGAAAAGACAAGAAAAAGAAAAATGTGAAAGCCAAATTTGCTTCACAGGGTTTGCCCTCAACTTTTTTTCTCACTCGCCAGCCGGACCAGCAGTGATGGCTTTTTACCAGTCCGCCAGCACTTTCACTAGTCCGCGTCTTCCCCTAATTTCAACATTCTTTTTTGGCACTAGTGTTTTCTGCTCCAACATCATGCATAACAGTGTGCACTCGGTGCCGACTGTTGCTTAATTGTTGATGAGTAATCAAAATGGCCACCGGACCAAAATATTCATGAGTACAACTCTACTCAAGCAAATTAAACACACAATCCAAGAAACAGAGAGAAAACCATGTCGTTATGAACAGTTTATGTACATGTACGTTTTATGCAGTATGCACAAGTACACACACATACGTACACTACATTTACGCCCGGCGATATGTACATGTACATACAGTACATGTCCGTTCTAGACTGTGTCCAGTACCCGGGGGCCCATTCCACAAAATGGTTGTACTTCTGCGCGTGAGCTCATTCATATTTTGTGATCCCACGGGGTGTTTACAATAAGACATGTCATAATCAGAAGGGATCATAGAAATATTTCTATATATCCCGAATTTGAGACTGATAATTTCCAGTTCAGGGTATTCAGAGCTGAGCGCATAGTTTTACTACTATTTTGGAGGTATCTTCGGGACAGGTGAATAAACAAAATTTCGTGGCTAACCCCCATAAAATTGAAACAAAAAGTGATTTTCTGGCCACAATCTTGAATTTCCAGTGAAAAAGCAGAGGCCAACCTCTTCCCAAGAGTCAACAGGTGGAGCTATTTTAGTCTGACTTTGCAATGTTTTCTGTGGGTGTGTACTTGGTGTAGTGCAACCCGTAGTGCGCGAACCAAACACGAAATCACAACCGTGACATCGCTGGTGTCACAACTACCAATGACC